TATCCGTGAATGTTAGCAACTGGACAAATCGAATGCAGCGGTCAAGGAAAAGCGACCAGAATTGGTCAATCGTAAAGGTGTCATTTTCCAGCAGGACAATGCTAGGGCCGCACACGTCTTTGTCCACTCGGCAAAAATTGATGGATATTGCTTGGGAATTGATGTTACACCCACCATATAGCCCTGATCTCGCGCCATCGGATTACCACTTATTTCGATCCCTGGACAACTCCCTTCGTGGTGAAACTTTTAACGATGATGACGCTGTAAAATCTCACTTAACTCAGTTTTTGGCCGAAAAGGATCAGACTTTCTACGAGCGTGGAATTTTCAAGTTGTCAGAAAGATGGCAAAAGGTCATCGAACAAAATGGAAAATACATTACAGATTAAACTTCGTTCCAAGTAAAAAAAATTTTTTATTTCATTGAACAAATCGGCAATTACTTAGTTGCCAACCCAATATTTACGTCCGGCAAGCTTCGCGCTATTAATTTGCCATTTGCCACGAGAGCTTTGGGGCCACCGTGAGCAAGGGAGAAGCCGGAAGCATCCCTGTCACGATCTCTGGCATAGCAACAAACTGATACAGATATTTGTTTCGCAGTGTTTCAACTTCGATATCGGCAGGTATGACAACGTAGCGGCGTGGTACAACCGTTGCAAGGAGCAGCTCGATAAATTCGGGTTCGAGGAAGTGCACGCCGAAGGAATAAAAATGTTTACCGAGTTGTATCAGCAGAATATATCGTAATTGTAGAAGCAGAATAGATCGATAAATATAGTTCGCCGGTGATCGAGATTAAACGCGAAACTCGGAACTCGCGCGGCCGAAGTGTCTCGTTCGAAAGCGAATTTACAGCGGAGGATGTTTTATATCGTCGTCGTGCGTTCAAGTTGAAATTCAATGCTACCCGATCCGCGGTCTCGAGCTTTTTATGATCACGAAAGAAATGCGACTGCTTCGGAAATGAATTTTTTCGGCGACGATGTTCGTCTCTGCTGCTAAAGAAACGATACTAATCTATGTAACTTGGAAATGCTATTAAACGATAATTGCACTGTTTCCAAACTAGAAAATAGTAATTGCCTTCTGAATGTTACACGATTGCGTTGGGAGCACTTTAACATTTCCGTGGAAATATTTAGAAAGTTTGAAGAATTATTTATGAGTTTATTGTTGGACGGTGTTGGACTGCGGCGTAAACAATTTTTTTCGCCAACCGAGTCATATGAAAAATATATTAGTTACTGTTGAGAATGTTGGTGTACAATCTAAATAAATATTTCGTTCGTTTACAAGTATTTTTATTTAACCTATTACTCGCCGCAATTCAAAAATACGAAAAAAAAGAATTAAATTGAGACTTGAAGTTTATAATGATTTAAAAGGAAATAGCGGGAATTCTTAATACTTTCATGGAGCACGTGATATGTTCTCACTATAATATAAATATAAAATATATTAGTTACTGTGTTAAGAATGTTGGTCTACAATGTAAATAAATATTTCATTCGTTTACAAGTATTTTTATTTAACCTGTTACTCACCGCAATTCAAAAATACGAAAAAAAAGAATTAAATTGAGACTTGAAGTTTACAATGATTTAAAAGGAAATAGCGGGAGTTCTTAATACTTTCATGGAGCACGTGATATGTTCTCACTATTTAAACGCGTGTATTTTATTTAAAAGTTGCAGTTTCTAAAAGAAAAAAATTTAAAATAGTCTCCCAAAAATGGGACACTGGCGGATAATGGGTTAAGTTGCCATCGAGATAAGATACCAATTGCAACCGTAAATTTCATTGAACTTTCCATCGAATTTCATTCGTCGAATTACCCTTCAAATTTGCGGGAATTTCCGTGAGCTGACTTTCGCCGTTTCAACGTGTCATCGCAACCGCATCGAAGACGCCTCGCATTCCGCGAAGTTCGGTCCGCCGAACCTCGAACGTTCGCGGAGCAGTTTTGTATCGAATGAAAAGTTGGACGCCTGCATTATTTAGCGACAGAATGGCGAGCACGCCGGAAACGTTGGGACGAAGAAAGGCTCTCCGTCGTGTCGTCGTCGCCGGATTATTTTTGTTTATTTCGGTTCCAACGGTGTATGCGCTCTCTATACACGTGCGCGCGCGCGCGCGTTCATGTACGTGTGTATGGAGGAGAGAACGACCGGACCAAGGGTTGCGCAACGAACAGCAATTCCTCTGTCGTTGTTCGATGATGATGCAGCAGAATCTGCTGCCGGTTCACAGCAACCAGCTCGACCGCGGCCTGAAAAACCCGTTACTTCCGTTCCCGGAATTCCTGTCCGCCGGTCTACGGCATTCTCCGTTCCTGAATTTAATTAACCCACAGTCCATTTAGAAGACCCGGGCTCCGTGGATCGCCCTCGAGGAATCATTGAGGGGAAGATAATGTTTTTACAGGGGAAATTGAGAACGTTCGCTCGAGAACTTTTGCGACGCGGAGAGTGAGCCAGCGCGAATTTTCCCTTCCGTCTGTGTCGTGAATTCGGATTACTTTCTGTATCCCGGTTTTGAGAACCCCCTCGACCGTTATTCTTCTTCCCGTTTCTCGGATTTTATTTTATCACATTCTATCCGGGAGGGGAAGGAAGAGGGGGAGGGGAGGGAGGAAGCCGCCAGTTTTTACGCGGGGGAATTCGGCAGAATTAAATTTCATCCCGGTTTTCCTTCTATTCCGTTCCGTTCCGTTCCGTTTCGTTCTGTTATTTAGCTACTGTTCCGCGAAGAAAGTGAATTTTAACGGGCGCCGTTACTGCGACGGCTACAATGTAATTGCGGCTCGTTCAACAGGGAAACTGGGCACAATATTTGTCTCCGTTTCATGGCGTGCTAGCCCCAGCCACGGGAATAAAATTGCTGTTAATCAGTCGCTTTGGAACCGGCCGCGCGTCACTCTGATACCGGTATTTTAATAGCACGGTTACGCGCGGCGAACTCGGACGTAACAACGAAATCGTTAACGATATCGAAAACGAGCAACGAACAATTCGGTTTTGTAACATTCCAATATGCAAACCTGCTGTTATCTAATCATTGTATTATCTGGATAGATTATCGCCTAGCAAACAACTCGAATGACATTTTTATGTAATAGAACATTTTCGTGTCGGGATATTACAAGAATGAACCTTCAGATAGGAGAGTCTTTAGTGAACCGGTATCTCTCGGTTTTCGTTCCGGTGACGTGGCAGATGTTACTAACACGACATATTTCATGTGAATGTATTTTATAAATACGTTATATAATTGTATACATATATATTATATGTGTAATAAATACATATTATATAATAGTACATACATATTACAGAATTATGGTATTATAGTTATATATTATTATAGTATTAATTAAAAAATAATACTGTATTTAATAGTACTATATTAGTATTAGTATTAATTAATATACAATAATAATACTATATTAATTAATACTATAATAATATTACAGAATTATAGTATTATAGTTATATATTATTATAGTATTAATTAATAATACTATATTTAATAGAGTACTATATTAGTATTAATTAATAATACTGTATTTAATAGTACTATATTAGTATTATTATTATTGTATATTTAATAGTACTATTAAATATAGTATTATTAATTAATACTATAATAATATTACAGAATTATAGTATTATAGTTATATATTATTATAGTATTAATTAAAAAATAATACTATATTTAATAGTACTATATTAGTATTAGTATTAATTAATAATAAGATATTAATTAATATAGTATTGATTAATATATATAGTAAATACATATTACAAAATTATAGTATTATAGTTTTATAATATCGTATTCTTTTCCATGAAAGAACGCAGTAAATATGTACATTATCATAAACATACTCGTATTTACTGTTACCTCGGCACCATAGCAACTTCGGTACTGCACAGCAGTTTCGGTATTTGTTAACACAATATTGACAGTAAAGTAATACCGGTTCTACGTGCGTGCTTTTAACCCTTATCGTACATATGTCGCGTAACACGTGACATTATACATTCGGCTAGGATGATTTTATCCGAGTCCGACAAGGATTAAAAATACTTTGAAAATTGCAATGAAATATGAGTATTTAACAACAACAAAATACCGGTAAACGTGCCGATGAATACACCGCTATTTTGCAATCCGGCGGAGATCCCAGCTGCGAATGGCGAATGTGAAAACCAAGAAGCAAAAATTTAAATAACCAGAACGTAGACCGTAATTAAAAATTTCTTCCGTCGCGGATGCGCCGCATGGAAAATGTGGTGTAGATATTCTGTTTCTCAGTTCGGCCATGTTGTTTTTTGTTCGGATTACGAAACAGACTTTTACAAATGCTACACCATTTTCCCGCGTGTTTTTTTTTTTTGGAACCGGGATAAATGTAAAAGAAAGATTAACTGCGCGCGGTGGAACTGTGTAGCAACATTTTGGAAAGTCCGCCGATGAAACGGTCGAAACCGAAATTTATCAGTCCGCTGATACGTTATCGAGTGTTTGTGCATATATCTGCGGTGATAAAATGCGAAAATCCATAGAAACATACATTTATCAGTGCCGCTTTGATATCTCCGATCAGGTATACATAATATGTAATTCCATTACGCAATCTGCGCCTGGCTTTTTTTCACTTTCTCCTCGTGTTATTTCTCTCGCCGAATTACATTCTCTTGTTTTACATGCTCTCGCCGAATTCTCCCTAATCGACGCTCCGATTGTGCACGAGAATGGACAATTTGGGGGGAGGAGAAACGATTATTCGAGCGGTTCGAATAATTTATATTAATATAAATATATATATATATATATATATATATATATATATATTTGTATTTATTATTATATTTATTATTATATATTTGTATTTGGTTCGAATAATTTATATTAATATAAAGAATATTATTAATATATTATTAATATTCGAGCGGATTATTGCGGCTCATTTCAATAGTTGTTGGCAATCGGTCACTATAAAAGTAAATAAAGAAATAAATAATAATCGCATCTTCGCTTTCCAAATCATCAATTTTTGTGCACAGTCCGAGCGCCAATTAGACACAATTCACTGTGCTTCCACGTTACCTATAATCCATATTTTCGTTCCAGAAACATCTTCGTTATTGTTGGACAATGAAAATGAACGCCTGCGGCAGATTTCGCAAACGAATTAATTAGAATCGTAGCGGCGTAAGTAACTTTCGAAAAGTTCGTCTCGCGTCTTAAAATGTAACGTTCCACTGTGCAAAATATCAGCGAATAAAGCGAAACGAGCTACGTATAAAGTTTCCGTGAATTAATTGAACTCCGAATTCTCTTAACGATACATTCAGGCTACGATGATTCCGACGAAACTAGTCGAGCGCATAAAATTTGATCCTACATTTTCAACAATTAGCATTGTTACGCGAAGCCTCCCGCCGCGTTGCGGCACGTCGGCGAGCACAATGGAAAATATTCGTGTCGACCGTTGATTGTACATCGTATACGAAAACATCCTACAAACTGATGCTCGTAAACCTGAGAAAAATGGAAGGGTTATTGATTTCGGGCGGAGAACAGGAACGGCGAATTACTGGACAAGCGGCGAACGAAAACTTGTTTCGCGGAAAAATGTGGAAAATCGATTTAGGAGAGCAACATGTTCGCCCGAACCCCGTGTGCAGGAAGCTGGCCGGAACAAAGACGGATCCTTACGAGGTAAGACAATTTTTATTGTACAATGTTGGCCGGCGAAACTCTGTAAACTCGCTGCGAACCTTGACTCACTTACCGTTGCGAATTACTATGACGGTATCATTCGAACGACTCGAAGGACTTGAACGGAAATTAAAGCGACACGCACATTTTAACAAGCCGAACTTAAATTGTTTACGAGAACAGAAGTTACGAAAAAGAATGTGTAAATTATAATAGGCTGACATGAATAATATTAATTAAATGAATATACGAAATTCGAAATGCAGGGGATTAAATTCGAAGCTTAGGTTTGCTTTAAGTCGAACTTCTAGTGTAATTTTATTATTATTATTATTATTATTATTATTATTATTATTATTATTATTATTATAATATATTTTTATTTTTTTATTATTATTATTATATATTAATATATATATATATATATTTATATTATTATATTATTATTATATTATACGTATATATATATATATAAGTGTATAAATTATATTGTATTATATCAATATACATATATATATATATAGTATATATAATGTTTTTACTTCATATTTGACGCCAAGTTTTGATAAATTACTAAATTCCGTTTAATGGAACGGTCGACTCATTATAAATTCCTTCACAGAACCGTCGATGGAAAAATATAGTTTCCCAGTGATTTTTGTCTGCTCGAGTGAATGCATTCCGATCGGATGCATTAAGGAACGTTCGTTGGAATTGAAACAACGATATGCAAATTTCCAGGCCTTCCACGAATTGATAATTCCAGTAGAATTCGAGCGGGGCGGACGCCGCGGTGCGGTCGTAATTAATCTATATTCCAAGCAAGCGTCTTTCCATGGCTGTAACCGCAGGTGATTAGAACTACATTTCCGGTGGCATAAGCGCGCAGGCTGACGTTAAATCAAAGGATTTGCGGTCTCCTGGGATTTCCCGGCTCCTATCGGGACAAGTCCCGCGAAAGTGTTTTCGGCTGAAATGCGCGTATGTGTGTACCGTTTTTGTTCTTCTTTTTTTTTTAGAAAAATGGGTCGCAGCGCGCGCTTAGAAGGCCACAATAGATTCAGGTTTTATGAAGCAGCGGAATCGCGTATTGGACTCTTTTCCGCGAAAACGAGGGAACTTATTTAGAGATCTACTGATAAAGAAAAACCGACCTGGATTCTTTTCACGGAACACATCGGCCCCGACAATCCGAGAATCCTCGTTCCCGCGCATGTAGATTTTTAAATTGCTCGTCGAAGTATCGTCGTCAGTCTGCTCTACTAACGCCCGGCTCTCTGCTGTGTCTTATAGCGCCGAGTCAGGCACACGCGGTGAACAACGCTTCGCAATTGGACGTAATAAAAATAAACGGAACCGAAAGTTCCGGCGCGCGAATTTCTCCCGCGTTAATTGAACGAAAATATTATTTTCTGCTTATGAATAATAACGAATTTTTAAAGTCAACGTGGAACCGACGGCGAATTTATAGTGCTTTTTCCTGCTCGAAAATTCGCGAGAACGAACTCGAGAACGAACATAAGTGCTTTCGATTGATAAAATTTCGAATTAAACAATGGACGATTGTAATGTTTAATAGTCTCCGAACTGTAGAAGATCGTGATGTTAATTTTAGTTGCTCCTGATTTATGTTTATTTGTATTAACTGTATTAATTCACTGCGATGATACATGCCATAATAAATTAAATAAAATCGTATAATTCTGTGCATTCTTTTTTTAAATTTATAATATCAATATTTTACATTCGTAAAATAAATGCTTGATATTTTGCTATGTCACTCGGTTATGTCAATGTTATAAAATTTTATATTAAATAATGCACGAGTGCAATATTTAATAGCCTCAAAAGACTTTAATAGTCTCTAGAAGATCGTAATATTAATTTTAGTTGCTCCTGATTTACGTTTATTTGTGTTATTTGTATTAATTAACTGCAATAATAAATGCCATAATAAATGAAATAAAATCGTACAGTTCTACGCATTTAATTTACAATATCAATTTTTCACATCCGTAAAGATTGTACGCCGGCTTGAAATGCTGCTATGTCATTCGGTTTAGACAGAGATTACAGACATTAGCTATTGTACGAAATAGAGTCTACAGTTCGATCCGGTTCGATGAGCATTGCTTACTCCAGTTCAACGCTGCGATTAATGGCAATCCTTGCTCCTCAGTCCTTGGAATTCCCACTGAATGCTGAATGGAAAACCTTGGTACTTTCACCGCGGGCGTACGACTCGAGTATTATACATTGAAAAACGTGATCCCGTTGTACAAATAAGTTACAATTACTTCCATTTCTCTGATCGCAAGGCGTTTAGAAATACTGTAAAATTATGCAACAGAGGATTTAGGTGTTCTGCACGATTTTGAAAAGGCGAATACAGTAATGTCTCCCTAATTAACGCTCAGATTATGCACAAAAAGGGACCAATTTGATAAGAGGAGACACCATTATTCGAGCCTTGCGACTCGTTTTTACATTTACCGATTTTCAACAATTATAAAAACGAGCCGCAAGGCTCGAATAATTTGGGAAGAGGAGATACGATTATTCGAGCCTTGCGACTCGTTTTTATAGTTACGGATTTTCAACAATTATGAAAACGAGCCGCGAGGCTCGAATTATTTGGGAAGGGGAGATACGATTATTCGAGCCTTGCGACTCGTTTCTATAGTTACCGATTTTCAATAATTATAAAAACGAGCTGCAAGGCTCGAATAATCGTATCTCCTCTTCCCAAATTGTCTATTTTTGTGCACAATTTGAGCGTCAATTAGGGAGACATTACTGTAGTTTGAATATGGTTCTTCTCTGATTACAGAATGTAGATCCAACAATTATTAAATGGAACAGTAAAAAGCTAGCTGTAAAATTAATTAAAATTAAGTGAAAATAATGAGAAATAATGAGAAACAATGAAAATTAATTTATGTCACGCGAAAAACGAAATACAATAAATTCTCCCTAATTGACACTCAGATTGTGCACAAAAATCGACAATTTGACTATTTAACTATGAAAACGAGTCGCAAAATCTCTTCCCAAATTGTCGATTTTTCCGCAATATCTGAGCGTCGATTAGGTTTGCTGTTTGCCGTTGTTTTTGCTTAATCATTCGGATAAACGATTGATTTCCTCGGTAAACAAAATAGCCCGATAAAGTTTTGTCGACATGACTACACACTTTTCTGTCCACTCACAGCTTACTTCGTAAAGAGTAAATGATACAGCAAAGATACAATGATTCATCTGCGAATGACTATGTTGTATGCTCGATGTTAACGAAGAGGAATGGTTATCTAATCACCCTATTTATTGTCGTTACGTAAAGCAAAGATAAGCCTATCTCGCAAGCTTCTATAATATGAGTAGATATATTTAACGTGTTATTTGACACGCGCATATTACAGCATCGATCTTCCGATCGTTCAATTTCATAAATCAATCACCATACTTTGAAAACGTGTGAAATCATCGAGTGCAATTATCCGAGAACAAGTATTCGATTAACAGCGTTCATCGGGAAACAAAATATGAAAAAAGAAATGACGAAGCATAGATCGACGATCTATAAAATCTATGCGAATCGTCTGCCGGTCATCGAGACTCAAAATCGACGTTGGAGAATCTTCTTAATTTCTGTTAGCTCGGATAGAAGGAGTAAAAACCGGATCATAATAGATCGACGAGACCCGGACAGAAAATTGATGCGATGACCAGGCGATTCGAGACATGAATTTCTTATTTCGCGTATTTTGCGTTCGAACGTTAAATACCGTGCACAGCTTGCATATTTATTTGCAGAAGAACGTCTCATGCGTCTTGCGTATTTCCGTGCGCAAATGTCACGATGCGTTTCGCATTAGCATTCGCGATCTAACCGACGATTAGCGGCTACCGGGTTAGAAACAGAAGTGAATGAAGATTACGGTCTATTTAGCGGTTGGTCAGATGCCTCGCTACGTTTCTAATTATAAAATAAAATTAGTTATGACGATTCATTCCGATAGTTCCAACTATCCGGATCCGGATCCGGCGTGTTCGCAGCCAGGTTTAACGCGAGCACTAGGTTTCGGCCTCGCGGAGACGTCGACCCCAATGGGTTTTCGCGTTCACGGATGACTCGACGGAGTTCTTCTCGTTGCGAATGATTCAGCAGAATCGGCTCTCGGAGAAACGGAGGAAGCAACGCCTCCGTGCTAGTAACAGGTTGTGTGCATCGACGAGCCTGCGCAGTGTCGTACGCCAGGCCGCTTAAAAAGGAGGTTGCGTAGCGAATAGCGTAGCATTTGCAAAGAGATTCGTGGACTAACTCGTTTAGACGGCTGTCATCGATTGATACCGTAGCGTGAGAACAAACAGTACGTGGCCCCATATTTTCTTCACATTTTGATCTTCCTGATGAATCGGCCGTAAATTATCCTGTTGCCGCGTCCCGTTTCGTGCCTGCGCCGGGATTATGTGTGTACGCCGGTTGTGCTACCCAGTTGCCTGCCGCAGGATCTATCGATCGACGCCGCGCGAATGATCCTTCGTCGAGTGTGTTCCGTTCGATTAATCGCGTTCTGATATGTTGTTTGGCAGCGCGGTTATCGATTTACTTCATAGCGCGACTTATGTTGAATTTGGTAATGATCGAACGTGTGTCGTAACAGAGTCGATCATTTTGCGGCATTTTTGTTTCCAGAGAGAAACGAGTTTATTAGACGTATTAGACGTATTAATATCGCGTGTTACTTTGATGGTTCAGTGTACTAATATTTTGTTGTACTAATATATTGTAGTACTAATATTTTGTAGTACTAATATTTTGTAATACTAATATTTTGTGATTCTAATTCTTTTTAGTGCTAATGTTTTGTAATACTAATATTTTTTGGTACTAATATTTTGTAGCACTAATATTTCGTAGTACTAATATTTTGTAGCACTAATATTTCTTAGTACTAATATTTGATAGCACTAATATTTTGTAGTACTAATATTTTGTAGTACTAATTTTTTTAGTGCTAATATTTTTTAGTACTAATATTTTGTAGCACTAATATTTCGTAGTACTAATATTTGATAGCACTAATATTTTGTAGTACTAATATGTTCTAGTACTAAAATTTTGTGGCACTGATATATTGTAGTAATAATATATTGTAGTACAAA